AATTGAAATAAATGATTTTGACTTTGACTTTGACTTTATTGGGTTTTTAAGTGTAGGAGAGCCATGCTTCGGCACGAATAGGCCGGCTCGACCGGAGTGATACCACGGCCTCACAGAAAACCGACGTGTACAACTTGCGTTGTGTTTCATCGTGTGAGTGAGGTTACCGGAGGCCCTATTACCCCCTCCCTAGTCCTCGTCTCCCGAATCCCCGAATCCTCCACAGTCCTAATATTCCCAAAAGGCCGGTAACGCACTTATAAGGCCTTGGTGTTTCGAGTGTCTATGGGCGGCGCCGATTGCTTACCATCAGGTGATCCGTCTGATCGTTTACCGGCTTATGCTATAAAAAAAGTATTTTAAGTAACTTGTGTAATTCGGGTTAAGTAAGAAAATAAGAATTGGGATTGATTTCAGAAAAGGCCGTAATGGAATACTTGTATGGTGCCAAATGTGACTACAAAAACAAATTGCTTTTGATGCACGCACATCATAAGGGTGAAGATGTCGCTGGAACTATGATAATTGAGGTAACTACATCTATATCTATACTAATATTATAAAAAGGAAAGATTTGTACCTATTTTTGTATGTTTGTATGTTTTTAATGAATAGGCTCAAAAAGTACTGGGCCGATTTAAAAAAATCTTTCACCAATAGAATGCTACATTCTTCCAATTTGACATAGGCTACATTTCATTTTGAAAAAAATTAGGGATCCTTGGTAAAATTTAAACAATGTAACCGAAGATGTAGAAAAATGAGTCTTAAAATGTCTTTCGTCGAATGCGCTGCCGAAACTATTAGCGATAGAACAAAATAATGTACAACAATATTGAAGAACATCATAATGTCTACAAAAAACTCCGCGGTAGCATATGTCCAACTATTGTAGTTATGTCACTACAACAATCTAAATTTCCAAAAATAAATAATTTCTACCCCGTGCGAAGCCGGGACGGGCTGCTAGTTATTTATATGTTTATTAGTGTTTATGATAACTTTTAGAAATGAGCTCTATATACTAAAACCTTCTCCTAAATGTAACAAACAACCCTTTGCTGAAAACTGCATCAAAATTGATTCAACCAATCATGAGATACTTGCGCACGAACATACGTGTATACATACATACAGCAGGTTATACAGAAAACCTCCTTTTTTGAAGTTGGTTAAAAATACCCGAATTTCGCTGAAAGTAACTACTCCACTCAGACGAATGAAGTCACGGAAACCCTTCCTCTTGAATCACTTATCTATTAACCCTTAGAGCGCCACGTCAGTCACCGGTGCCTGACGCTAGTGAAGGTTTGACTTTCATTTACCTGACATGTTAAAAAATGCAATTATCCGTCCTATTTACAAATCAGGTAGTCATCTTGAATATGTAAACTACAGACCTATTGCAATACTGTCTGTTATTGATAAAATCACAGAAAAAATTATTGTAGCTCAGATTAGCGGGTTCTTAGAACAACATAAAATAATATGTGACACACAACATGGTTTCCGCAGAGGACGAAACACTGTTTCTGCTTTGTTAGGCTTTTCAGATTACATAAATAAGTCGCTAGACTCTGGGAAACAGGTTATAGCTCTTTTTATCGATTACAAAAAGGCATTTGACACATTAGACCATGACATATTACTACAGGCAATGGATGATTGTGGAATACGCGGGCCCACAAATGAATGGTTTAAAGACTATCTAACCAATAGGAAAATAAGTACAATGATAGCTGGTAAGACAGGGAAAGAGGCGGATGTCGACTTAGGTGTGCCGACTGGATCTGTATTCGGGCCAGTAGGATATATAATGCATGTGAATAGTGTGTCAAATGTCATCGAAAAATGTAAGGGGTTCATGTACGCTGATGATATGTGCCTTATTTATGCATCCAAAAATATAATGGAAGCCCAAAAATTTATACAGGACGATTTTGAAAATATTAGCAAATGGGCACACGATAACGGAATTATCTTGAACACAACAAAAACAAAAGTTATGCATATACACTCCCCGTACAATCATATTGCTAAATCAGTAGATAAGGAACATATCACAGTAATAGGACACACATATGAATGTCTACATAGAAATAAACATAACTGCAGTTGTAATAAATTAGACTATGTACACAAATTCAAATACCTAGGCCTAACAATAGATACAAATTTCAACTGGAAATTGCATGTTAACGACATTTGTAATAGACTAAGATCTGTATTAAGTAAGTTGTATCAATTAAAAAATGTACTGAACAAAAAGACTCTCAGATTAGTTTACTTTGCACTTGCAGACTCGCTAATAAGTTATGGACTACTTGTGTATGGTCGAACATTCATATCATATATTAAGGACATACAAATAAGACTGATAAAGTTCCTAGTAAGTAAAAATGTTAAAGATAGTTGCAAGAAAGAGTATGATAAGGTATTTCCTATTTGTAAAATAATACCCATAGATAAAAAAGTAGATTATTTAGTTGGTTTGCAATATTATTATAGTGACGAGTTTAAAATTAATGTAAAGAACAAGTACAACACACGTAGGGTTAGAGAGAATAAACTAATATTACCAGAAATAAAAAACTATTATGGCAAAAGAACATCTGAATACTTAGTTCCTAATGTATTTAATAGAATAGATTTACTGAGAGAAGAAGGAAAAAAGTTTACGAAAGGATCTCTAAAGTTAAAATTAAAAAGATTTATGTTAGAGTATTAATAAGAAATAACATTGTTATGTCTTGTTTGTTTTTTATTGTTATTTTCATAAAGATTTGTTTGTTTTTTTTTTTTATTATTATTTTCATAAAGATTGTTTTATATTAGGTATATAAACTATGTCGAAGTAAGTAATAAGGGATATTATATGTGATGGGATATTTAAATGCTAAAGAAAAAACTATGTAAGAATTATTAAATTCACTGTTTTGTATTAAACTGTACAAAGAGCGCCTCTCGCCATCAAACGTTACAGTTTGGCGAGTTTAGTTTTTAAGGACACAATTTGTAATAAGTTCACTGAATAAATTATTTAAAAAAAAAAAAAAAAAAAACCATTTTAAACTTGGCAGTTAAAGTATTAAACAAAATCGCATCAAAATCCGTTGTGTAATTTTCAAGATCTAAGCATACATAGGGTAGTGATGTTTATTTATTTTGGTAATAAATCTATTTAATTATAAGGTACAAGAATATAAATCTGCCTCATTGGCCGACGACTGCCGGTTAAGAGGTCTCGGGTTCGATTCCCGGGCCGGGAAAAGTACTACTGGTTTTTTTTTTTAAATTTCAGTCGTAGCACGGAGTCTGGAATAATTGTGCTCGGTATATGGCAATAGGCTCCCTCCCTATTAAATGAGACTCATAATATAAGTAGTGAAAAGTGGGAGTTACATTGTACAGTGGCATTAAGGGCCGTAATGTGCACCTCTACCCCTACGTGGTTTTATGATGATGAAGAATATAAATGTATAATATTTAATACTTATTTTCTCATGTGTTTTCAGTCCACCCAGGTATATAGTACCCATCCGCATGCATTCTGCGCAAGAATAACAGCCACTGCTGCACACAGTGACATGATAAGGTATCAACCTTACAGTTTTGCAATATGTTACAAAATGGTATTGGTTTCTCTGCCCGGGGGACTGGATTATGAATACTTATACCTAGATTGGTACATACCAATAGAAGTAACTCCAGATCTTGATTGGGATTTGTATTTTTATCATACCTAATTAAAGTGGATTTTGGACATATGTTGTTTTATGCTTACTTACTGTTTGCATGTCGTTTTAAAGTCAAGAAATTAACAGGTACAGACTAGCCTTTACATCAGTTAAAGATAATATGCACATTATTCAAGTAGGTATGTATATATGTGTGTTCCAGTAAATATCTACAGTAGGTACTGTGTCTACTAAATAGTTTCTCTACTAATTGCCTTTATTTTTCAATGATGCCTCCCTGGCCGAGTAGTCGCAAGTGCGACTGCCGGGCAAGGGGTTTCGGGTTCGATTTCCGGGTCGGAAAGTATTATTGGGTTTAAAAAAAAAATCAGTGGTAGCACGGAGTCTGGAATTGTGCCTGGTATATGGCAATAGGCTCACCCCCTGTTACATGGGATTCATAACATAAACAGTGAAAAGTGGGTGTTACATTGTACAGTGGCATTAAGTGTCGTAATGTGCACCTATGCCTACCCCTTCGGAAATAAAAGGCGTGATGTTATGCTATGTTATTTTTCAATGATTTTACTATTTAATTTTTTAATAAATTAAAAACCGACTACGTTAAAGGTATGAAACAAGAAAATTTTCTTATTTAAAAACTTTATTTATAAACTATAGAATCATGGTCTTTGTATAGTCATCAGAATTCGGTCATTTTCCAGTTTGACGTTTTTACTTACCGTACTTAATAATTTTAATTTTGACTTTATAATATTTGTGTGACTTAAACAAATACTAGTTGTTGCGGCTTTGCTTGCGTGAAAGTTGATTATCATTGTGTCAATTCCCATTTCATCCCTTTGTGTTTCTATATACATATTTTACCTTACCCTACCTACGTATTTTTTTTGTTTTTTTTTTTTTGTGTACCTACTCATTTATCCACACCCTGAATATAATATTTAGGCTTCTAATTATGATATGCAGGGCTGATGACTGCCAAGACATGATTACTTAGCGTTAGCGTGTCATAAATGACTATTGACTATCAAACAAATTTCTAGCCTTCTTTTGATGGGGGAAAATCATCCAATGACTTCTCTCACCTTGGGTTAGACGAGGAGTGTAAGACTCTTACTGACTAAAAACCATCCCGTTTTTACTCCTGCTCTTCAAGCCGGAGCCCCAGTAACCTGTTAGGCCTTCCGCGGCTCTGTTCTGGGCATTACCCCTACTGGGTCCCCCTCTGAATTACTAGCCTTATAGGACGAACTTTATTTCGAGGATTCAGTAGCTCTTTGACCAAAATGATACAAGCTGTAATTATGTCAAACTTATTTATTCATAACTATTCGGATTTATCAGTTTTTAGGCCGCCTTGGGGAAGTGGTGGTGGAGGAACGTTGGGTATAGCAGGGTCCTGCGAAGCATAGTTCAATATGTTGAGATCACTTGGTTCAGGGGGCGGAGTTTGAGTATAATGTTGTTCCTCGGCAACTGGGCTTTTGTTAACCTGTTTATTGGTAAGAATAGGAAAACTTTGTCCCAAAACATTTGGTAGAGGACGATATATTGGAAGACTCGTGTAAGAGTTGAATCCAAATGGATCATAGGGATCATAGAACCTGACCCCTGGATATCTGTAGGTTAAAGGGTTAAATTGTGGTAGAGCATTATATAAGGGGTCGATGTGTCCTAAGGGCAAAACTTGTGGTGGAAGACCAAATTCGTTGAGTGGTATTGGTGATTGGGTGTTAGGCAGCGGTGGAGATGGGGTAGAAGCACTACCCTCATTTGGCTGCTTTGCTGATTCCGAAGTTGTAGTAGGAGCTATAGTCGACGAAGGTGATGGCTCTGTGGATGTTGCGGGTGTTGAAGCTAGTGAAGATTCGGAAGGTTGTGGTTGAGTTTCCTTTGATGCCAAACCAGTTGCTGGTACAATTCCCTGAAATCGTGAACAGTTATGGTAAAAACCTTATAAATAAATAAAATATTACATGCTTGCAAGCTGAGGGCTGGTTTAGAAATATTATTGTTTTAACTGAGATTTTGGAGAAATACAAAACGACAAACTACGTGTGGAGTTTATTATTTCATTTGCAATTACTTATATTAAAATGAATCCAACCAAAAACATTCGGTAAAAAACTAACCATGTCTCAATGGAGCCGCTCGTTCATCTCTAAAAAGTAATGAAATCTAGACAAAGTCATGCCAAGTGTGAGGTTCCTTATTGCGATTTCTTCGTAATTATAGTTAATGCTGTGTGACTTGGCCGATAAAGACACATACGGTATGTAATAAAATAAAAATTTTAACACAAAAAAGTAACGAGACATAAGAATAAAAATAATAATAACGCATATCAGTAACAATGTAAATAAAGAGCAGTAGTATCAGTAGTATGAAACAAATGTATGGCGTCTGGGCCCACTCCTCAACAGCAACAAGTGATATACCGTTGGACAGGGCTTCTTAAAAGGAACAATAGTTAATAACAGACCTATGGTCAAATATTTGTGTGTTTGGAGATACCAGGGAGCTTACTCTTGAATCCAATTCTGATCGATGAACATTGGTATTATGAAATTTCGTACTCTTGAATTGCAACACTAGCGCCCATTGCATTCGTATTACGTGAATATTAAATGAACTAAATGGAAATGGTATTGAGTTTGGTTATATATTTCGTATTCTGAATGCTATTTTAACAGCTACGATAGGGGTTGTATAATTCTGACATGGATGGTTTCAGGAGTGAGCACCCAGGTCCTAAAGTCATTATTAAAAAATAATTAAAAACACTTACGTTTCCAAGCAAATCTCCGCCGTAGAATATGGCCGGTTGATAGGAGAAGGCGAAAGCGTCGTGTAGGACTGGCTGGTATACTGGGTATGCTTTGCTTGGTTCCAAGTTCTGGTTTGAAGTGATGAGAGCGTTATAAACTTTGGGAACACGGCCGGGTGCAGGTGCGGGTGCAGGATCTGCGCTCGTGTTCAGCCAGAAGGCACTCACCAACTGAAACATTAATGTAAGTATGTTAATGTATCACTCATTTGCTTTTAATGGTGCTTGACCACGGTGCTTATGCTGGCGCGGTCGCGTCCGCAAAAATTGCCCCGGTAAACGAGCAGACTGATCACTTCATAGTAAACAATTGGTGCCGCTTATGGACAGGGTCTACCTGATAAAAATCTCAAAATTATTTGTATGTTTGTTTGTTTGTTTGTTTAAACGCATCAAACTAATTTAGGTGTGGAAGAGCCAAACTGGGCCAAGATAAATGGGCCAGCTCGACTGTTACACACGGTTTCACGGCTTTACAGAAAACCGACGAGAAACAACACATGCGTTGTGTTTCATCATGTTTGTGAGGTTACCGGAGGCCCAATAACTCCAATCCCCCCAATCCCCGAATCCTCAATAACGTGCAAATTCCTAATCCCCAAAAGGCCGGTAACTCACTTGTCAACTCAACTCTGGTGTTTCGGATGTCCATGAGCGGCGCAAATTGCTTACCATCAGTTGATCCGTCTGCTCGTTTAGGTACCGGCTAATTCCATTAAAAAATCTCAAGAACTACCTGGTCCCATTAGAAAAAATATTTTTTGTTGGATAGTTTAGAAAATCTGGACTAACTACTTGTAACAGACTGTTTTGCAAGCCGCAATTGGTCGCAATCGCGACTCATACTGCTCTCCATTATGAGTCCCGATGCGGCTTGAAACTGGTCGACTTTTTTTCATGACTGAACTGTATATTTCTATTCTATCAGTGCATTATATGACTAGACTACCATGACTACGTAAATACAATCAGTCCAAACATGGTACATAATTGATGCTTAAAGACGCTATTAAAATAATTGTTGCAGCATGCATAATAACAAGTTTTCTAACCAATAATTATTAAGTTGTTATATGGACAATATAAAGTAAGTGGTATTATAAATAATTTATTATAATAAATTATTCATATTATTATTAATGAAGTCTTTACGGGGTATACGACGTTGTTCGTTACCTTTTAAATAAGATTCGAGAGCGTTTGCTACAATCTCACACTAGGCCTGCCAAGATTTCATAATAAAAAATTAAAAACTAAAAGAAAAACAAGCTTTTATGAAGTCTGGGCGTCTTCAAGGTCTGAGTGAAAAGGTTGCTTATGGGTTGACGTGCTCCATCGTAGACCGCATTATCGCTTACCACCAGCCTTGATGGTGGTCAAACGACGGCCCATCAAATATAAAGAAAAGCTTAGCATTTATGGTCATGCAAACTAACAATTTTCAGCTCTATCGGTTGAAGATACCTGATATCACAAATATACATTGCGAGTTAAAATAATATAAGATTAAGTATAAAATATTCAAGTTTATCAAAGAGCTGTCCGGTATCTGTGTACTGTAACTCCACCACACGGTGTTCGGATAGGTATAATTTACAATAGATTTACGCAATCGCTAAGGTGGGATGAACTCAAGTGAGGCACTCGTAAACATAAGTAATCGTTAAATCACGATACAGTATCGATGTAATCGGTGTATGGATTCTGCAAAAAATATCACGTAACTCTTATTATTAGCGGGTACAGAACTAGAGATGGTTTACTACTTGTTAGTTTTGACGGTCTGATTGGTTGTTTCATTGAAGCCGGCCAATTAGAGAGCCGAACGCAGTCTCATTTCGATTAGTTTAAACGTACAAAGACCTCTGATTGGTTGGTTGTTTCAAGTTGGCCAATGACAGCGCCGAACGCGGTCTCGTTTCGATTACTGTAATCGTAAAATAAACTTTTATTAAGCTATTAAGCCCTCTCTTCTTGTTACAAGCTCTAAGACGAAATGAAGAAGATATATTTATATTATATAATATTTTTAGCAATCAGGAGTGAAATTAATTAAAAAAAAAACAATTTTATGGGAAACTAAACGTTTATTCTAACCTCTAAATATTTAAACTTTGATTTACACAATTTACACAATTTAATAAAGAAAACATAAAGTAATCACATCTACAAACAACCATTAATTTAAAGTAAATATACGATAATAATGCACGATAACAAACAGCGCCGAACACCTGACAACCTTACCCTTCGAGAGCCAACGAGCAAAAGACCGAACTACCCCCACAACGCTCTATTTATAGATGGTGTCAGATGACGTCACTTGTTTACCACGGGCAGTTACGATTATCCTAATACGGCCTCTCCTGACCGTGCGCCGTCCTCGGGGCACATCGTCCATTGTTACGTTGTCACTCATTGCTAGGTACTGCAGGGGCCACGGAAGATGGACCAGCCTCATCGCCCTCACCATCTTCATTGTCAGTATCTTAAAGAAATAAGATTACGAACATATAAGTTGTTGTATACACATACAGGTACTAAAAGAAAAACAACAATTATTCTTTCATCCCTCTCGCATTTAAGGCCCTCATTCAATGAATCACTCTCCTAACCAGGTACATCCGTCTTCAAACCATAAATCATCAGACACATTCGCTCGCACTATATAATTACGCATGAATCTGAAGGACACTTCAATATACGTTAACAAAAATGTCTGCCAGGCCGGGTGCCTATACACATATCCAACATAATATGTGTCTGCAGGACGTAAAGTCCAATACACATATCCAACATATGTGTCTGCAGGACATAAAGTCCAATACACATATCCAACATATGTGTCTGCAGGACATAAAGTCCAATACACATATCCAACATATGTGTCTGCAGGACATAAAGTCCAATACACATATCCAACATATGTGTCTGCAGGACATAAAGTCCAATACACATATCCAACATATGTGTCTGCAGGACATAAAGTCCAATACACATATCCAACATATGTGTCTGCAGGACATAAAGTCCAATACACATATCCAACATATGTGTCTGCAGGACATAAAGTCCAATACACATAACCAACATATGTGTCTGCAGGACATAAAGTCCAATACACATATCCAACATATGTGTCTGCAGGACATAAAGTCCAATACACATAACCAACATATGTGTCTGCAGGACATAAAGTCCAATACACATATCCAACATATGTGTCTGCAGGACATAAAGTCCAATTACATGTGAACTCAACAGTGCGTCTGTTCACCCAGCTCAAGATGCACGACCTGTTGAAGATTTTAACCACTCGGAAGTTGTTATCCATCTCACGTGCATACTCATCCGTAACAAGTTCACACCATATCTGCAACATAAAAGTACACTTACTTTCAAAGAAAGCTGAACAACTCTCGGGACACCACTCCCCTTTCCATGGCACCATATATTGCGCCGCAGCTTGGGTTGTTTTACCTCTGGCTCCCCCCAACAGCTTTAGCTCATAGCGGTTGCTTGGCAGGACCTTGGTAACTTTATAGGGCCCTCGCATTCCGGAGTCCAGTTTACCAGTCGATTGCGAGTATTTAATAACAAACACCAAGTCGTCCGTTTTAAAAACTTTAGGAGGGTGTCGTTGGCGATTGGTGTGGGAATCTTGCTTATTTTGATTCTTGTCAAGCAATTCCTTTGCCCGGCTTCTGCAAATTTCCCTCCAGGCTTCACGGTTAGGGTTCGCGTTGTCGATTGCCACGTCGCGGACCAGCGCACGGATAACGGGAGTAGTCGCGTCAGTACCAATCAGTAAGTTTAGTGCTGACATTTGTGTGGTTTTTTGTTTAGTGATATTTAATACAAGCTGAATTTTCCAAAGTGAATCTGACCAAATTACATTTTTATTACGACTTTCTACACGAATAAGATTTAATACAGTTCGCACATATCGCTCTGCCTGCCCATTTGCATGATGCATTTCGGGAGTTATGTGGTGGATGTCACAACCTAAATCTGATATCCAGCTGGTGAAGCCAGCTGCTTCGAACATACGACCTCGGTCACAAACAATTAATTTAGGCACTCCAAACAAAGAAATTGCATTATTAAAAACACGCTTAAGTTCACTAGAATCTTGTCGGTACATGGGATATAGTAAGCAGAATTTCGTAAATGCGTCTACTAGTACAAAAACAAACTTGTAACCGTTTGATTCCGGTAAAGGGCCTAAGGCGTCAACATGAATAATGTTAAAAGGAACTTCAGGTTTTACCCATGACGTAATAGGTTGAGGGGGTGCCCTAGGCACTCGTTTTTTTGAGATACAAATGAGGCAATGTGAGGTGTATTTTAAAACAAAGTTTTTCAGGCCTGGGAACCAGAAATGCTTTAGTATAAGGTCTAAAGTTTTATCTGCACCGATATGCTCGTGCTCGTCGTGAAATAGTCGCAATAAACTAAGTCGGTGTCCTTTCTTTTTACAAAACGTACAAGTCAGTTTCGTATTACTGTTATCAAAATCTTTACGCTTTTTGGTACAGTTAAAGCTTTTATGCCCAACCCGGCCGCACATGTAACACTTGCCAGCGGATTGATCACTAGTACGTTTATTGGCCGAAGTGCTAGCAGGCCGGCGAGGATTGTCTTTGGTACATCCAGGTTTAACATAAATAGCTAAAAACGAAACTATAGTTTCGACCGTGAGGTCCGCATTTGCGGCAGCCGCGCGTACTTGAGCGTCGTTAATACTACGTACAATAATCTGCACCATTAAATCATCACTTAAGCCCTTAATAATGCGAAGTCGTAATAAGGAACGTCGGGCATATTCCGCAAACGTTGGATATTTATCAGACGTGGTATTCATGACGTCGAAGAGTATATTGGCATAATCTTGTTTTCGCGGACAAAGGGACTTGAAATCTTTCGAAAAATTCGACCATGAACGATCATTTGTCGTCCACTCATTTAGCCACGTCCTAGCGTCGCCTTTGAGGCAGTTAGCAACCCGCGATAGACATTCTACATCAGACCAATGATTCACTAACCTGGCACGCTCCACCTCGTTACACCACACCTCAAAATCGTGGACAGCGGGATCGAAGTTTGACACGTAGTAATTATGCGGCTTACTTCCGATAGTAGCTAATGCATCGGCCAGCAACCTAGCCGTG